CAGCCCTGGGGGGATTTAACAGCTGGGCAGAGGCGGTGCTGAGGGCCAGGGTTTGGGGGTGGGATGGCAGGGGGAGGGGGGTGGTTGGGCTGGGGGAGCTTAAAGGGCTTTGCCAACCCAAACCATTCTGGGATGCTCTTTGTCACTGCCAGGGCCCTGCTGTGTCCCCGTGCCACAGGCACTCACGTTGCTCCCACTGGCATCTGCTGTCACAGCCCTCCCTGGTCTGTGTCAGGTTCCCCAAGGGGACCTTGAACAGAGCTGGTGTTAGTCGTGGGCCTGCCTGACTCCTCTGCCTGGGTGTTAACATCACCATTTGAGGGGCGCAGACCGTGCCCCCTCCGCATGGAACCTGTGCAGAGATAATTCTCGAGCAGGCTGTCGGTCTCTGCTGCTGCCGCTCTTGAAGAACTGGCATTGCTTGAAAGCCACCTCTAGGGACAAGGCTAGAAATCTACTTTCTCGGGCAAGACTGCAGCAGAGAAATCACTCAAACGCTCCTCGTGGCATCTGTGATCTGCCTCTCTTTTTTTTTTTTTTTTTTTGTTTTTTTTCTAGCCTCCAGAAACAGCGAGGAGCTGAGCGGCCTGGCCTTCCTGGACTGCAACACGTTGCTCCTCTGCTGTGCCAAGGGGCAGCTGTGCCTGGCTGACGTTCGGCAGCCGCAGAGTCCCTTGGAGGCTGCGTCCGTCCCCTCGGCGCCGTGTGGCGAGCGGTGGTGCATGGGAGTCGGGCGCGGACCTCAAGGCTCTGACTCAAGCTCCCAGCCCGTAGCTTGCCTCTCGAGCGGAGGGCACCTCACCCTAACAGACGTAAGAAAAACCTCGGAGTCCTTGGCCTCGGCAAAGTGCAGAGTTCCCCCTCCCAGCTCGGGTGCGGAGTTCCTCTGCGTCTCCTGGGCTCCTGCTCTGGAAGGCTGCCTGGCCGTTTCAGGTATGTGCTTTGGGCAGAGATCTCCTTTTCTGGATGCTTTTATTTCTATCGAGGCCCGGTTCAGCCCACCTTACTTTAAACACCCCAGTTAGGGGGTGGTTGTTCAGAGCCCCTCCCGGCGCCAGCAGAGGTGCGAGCCATTCCTCCTCTGCAGCTGCCTCTCCCCAAAAACTACAGAAGGGGCCTGGATGGGTTCTGGGGGATTCCCGCTTCCCTCCTGGGAGAAGAAAGACCCCAGGCTCTTGGCCAACGCTGCCCTGCCAGTGCCAGCCTGGCCGCAGGGCCACGGCGCTGATAAGGCCGATTAGTGAATCTGCAGGCTTTTTGGATCAGGCCCGTGTTAGCTTGCGACCAGCTCCTCGGGGGCTTGGGTGCTCGGCTGGTGCGGGTTTGCAGCCTGGGCTTTTGTCCTCATTTCTGTCTCAGCAGCCCTGCTAGGAGGGGAGCCTCAGCCCAGTGGCACTAGAACGAGCCATTTACTTCTGCGGTCTCTCTGATTCCCTTTTCTTCAAGGTTTTGATGGGACCGTGCACGTGTATGACGCGCAGAGCTGGGACAGCTCTGGCAGGGAAGCAGAGCCCATCTTTGTTCACAAAGGCCACGCGTTCGGCGGAGCGGGCAGCAGTGGGGGCCCTCCCCTGGTCACAGTGCACACGTGGCATCCGCAGAAACCCAGAACTTTACTGTCAGCGGCGAGCGATGGTTCCCTGCACGTTTGGGACTGGGTTCAGTCTTGTGGGAAGTGTGGGTAGATCGTACTTTCGGTGAGATGTGGTGTGTTTCCTGTCGATGTTCTAGTTTGCGTAGGCTGCGAGGTGTCTGTTTGCATGCAGATACAGTTTTGAGACCGTTGTAGTGAACAGAACCAACTGTAACGACTGCTATCTTAATGCAGTAAAAAGTTAGATTGTCTTCCTCGTTCTCCTGAGTGCCAGCCTTCAACTGACAGCGGGCAGTGTGTCGTAGCCTGTGGTTCTGGTTGTGTCCGCTAGCGGAGAACGCCCTGCCGTCATTTTATCGTAGCCCCGTGTCGTGTCCGCACCGGACTTTTTCAGAAGAAAACGGGCAAAAACACCACGCGTGCGGTTTGAGGAAATGAGCTATTCCGGGGCACGTTTAACCCACCGCTTCCCAGGCCCGGAGCGCCGGGGTTAAAGCATTTCATCAACGCCCCTGGGTTTCGGCGTTTCATCACCCGCCCGTGTCACGAGTAGTGGCCTCCGCTCAGGAAGTCGCAGTGCACACGCAGCCTGCTTGCGGCCTGCAAGAGAGGAACGGGAACAACCTTTGCAGCCCCGGCCCGCTACCAGCTTTGCCCTCCCGCTGTGTAACCGGAGAGCACCCAGGCTAGGAAAAGGCCGTGGTATCTTTTGGCTCTTTTCCCACCAACTGAAAGTTTAAATTTGATCGAGCGAACGCGAATCCCTCGGCCTGAGGAAGCCAGGCGATGACTCTTGCAACGCCCACGCTGTTACCAAGGTGTTACTTGGGGTGGGGAGGAAGCGAAAAACTGTCTGCTCCTTCTCCCCAACGTGAAAAGCAGCGTGTTTCATCGGGGAGCTGGGAGGGAGTCGAGAGCCGGCACAGGGGAGGGGGGTGGGCAGGGGGGGCTCGCCTGCAAAGCGGGGGGCCCTGGCTTACCCCTGGGTTTGCTTGCGCTGGAGCAGCCAGCCTGGATCTTGCGGTGCAAATCACAGAATCACGGAAGGGTTTGGGTGGGCAGGGGCCATCAAAGCTCATCCAGCCCAACCCCTGCCATGGGCAGGGAAATCTCCAACCACAT